AAAAAAATGTAACACCAATATCCATGTTCTAGAGTGCAAATGCAGCATCGGACAACAGTGCGACGAACATACTGGTCAGTGCTTCTGTCCACCTCATGTAGAAGGAACATCTTGCGACAAATGCGTAAACTACGCATTCGGATATGATCCGCTTATTGGATGTCAAAAGGTTAGCAATGCTTGAATGAAATCGCGATTCTAAAAATATTACTTCTGTTCCAGTGCGGCTGTCACCCTCAAGGTTCGGAAGGTGCTTCACTCCAGTGTGACCCTAACAGCGGTCAATGCCTGTGAGTTCATCCAGCAATTGACCGTACTGACTACCGCATACATATCGTATTCTCTTCAGATGCCGTGAATCAGTTGGTGGACGCCAATGTGATCGTTGTCTTCCTGGATACTATGGATTCCCACATTGTTACGCTTGTCGCTGTAACGTCGCCGGTACGACTGAGGAGATTTGTGATTCAACAAATGCACAATGCACATGCAAGGTAAGTCGATAAGATTACACGTCGTTTCGAAGCGCTACAGTACACCTACCGTAATCCTCGCGGTGTTCGCAACGGAGCGCCTTGTGCGTTTGTGTCAAAAATCGTCGCATACAAACTATCTCAAATGTCGAAGCGTAATCAGCCAAAGGTGCTCCAGTGCCCAGTACGTTGATTGTGTGGTATACGGTATTCAACTGTATATTAGGGCGGGAGGAATTTGCTATTGGTCAAATCAGTGAATTGACCAACAGCAAAGCGGACGTCTACTGGGACGTCCCTGGTAATCACGAGTAGAAAGTTAGATGGAATGGATTTATGGCACCTGTATTAGGCGCCATAAATCCATTCCAAAAGTCGCTCTGTGCCAGCGTTCCGTATTGATCGATCGCCGTAATGGCACTCTAGCACGGCACTGGCACGAGCAACTATAACACAGCCTTAGCAGTATCCATTACCCTATGCCCTTACTGTTTTCCTAGACAGGATGACTTCCATGTTTGACGTGCTGTATGTGTGCATTTACACCAAATACACCTTTGGAAGAATCTCAAACCTATTACCTAGTTGAAAATATTTATCTATTCCAGGAAAACGTATATGGGCAAGAATGCGACACCTGCAAACCCGGCACATTCCATCTATCTGCTGCGAACCCCAAAGGTTGCGTGAACTGCTTCTGTTTTGGAACCACGGATCAGTGCAGATCAAGCATGTTCCCAGTGTCGATTGTAAGTGTCTACATAAAATCAGAACTTGTTTGCGGACATACGAAGTTGTTTACAGACCGCATTTGATATGTCTGGATTCACCGTGAATGACCCATCTGGTAATGTCACAGTCGACGATCATATTGTGACTTATACAGCTGGTGAAGGAGCTCCTTCTGGCGTATATTTTAACGCTCCAATCACTTCGGGATCGGACTACACGAGCAGCTATGGACTGACGGTAAGCGGCACTGCATGTGCGAGTTGAAAATTCGCAAGTCTCGTTCAGCTATACTTCCAAATGTCGTCACATCCACAAGAAGGTCCACATGCTATGAGTTCGGATGCAGATGTACGACTTTATGGGAACAATATGACGGCCGAATTCTGGGCTCCAGAACAACCAGCTAATCCTCAAGAAGCGTTTACTGTGCGCGTAAAGCTGTTACCGGTAAGGACCATCAAGATTCTCCAAATTTGTTGAGGATGTTCTTTTTTTTGTAACTTATGAAGATTTACTGAGACTTCGAGTAATAGTGTAAAATATAGTCGACATTCAGATAGTCTTATAAGCTCTCTTTGTTCCCAGAACTCCAACGGGGTCTATGGGAGTTTGCACCATCCCCGCCTCTCGACAGCTCCGCCCCTTGCCACTCCTCTTTTTGGTGTTTTGCACGAGAAAATTCATTCAAAACCCTTCACCCAGGATCTTCATCCCATATAGCCCCTTTGATTCTACCCTGGTAGCTCATACCTCTACCGTGAACCTTTGATATTGCACAAATATTCTATGCGGGACCTCGCCCCTCTGCCATTGGCGCTCGCCCCTTGCCACGCCCCTTTTTGAACTTTTGCGCAAAAAGTCCTGCAAAGTGCCACCATTAGTCCCACCTGTACCGAAAGAATTCCAAACTTTCCAGGAAAACTTCTTGTCATCTAATGGACAACCGATCACTCGAGCAGATCTGATGATGATCCTGCACTCTTTACAAAACGTTACCATCAAAGCTTCCTACTATAACAACCCAAAATCCGCTCAGCTTATTGATTTCGGCTTGGAAGTGGCTGGGGAGGTAATTTCGAATATTTCTGGAGAACTGGTGTTGATATAACTTCCTTCCTTCCAGAATCTTCCACCATCAGCTATGCAGGCCTCGTCAGTGGAACAATGCGCTTGCCCAGCTCCTTACAGCGGTCCGAGTTGTCAGCACTGCGCTCCTGGGTACTACCGGGTCCAGTCCGGCTCGTACCTTGGTGCTTGCGTACCTTGTGAATGCAATGGGCATTCGGGCTCGTGCGATCCTGATACCGGTAGGTAAACTTGGGTAACTGAACTTGAAAATTGATAATCGGCTTCCTTCCCCTTTCCAGGAGTCTGCTTCGACTGTCAACACAACACTCATGGAGATCATTGCGAACTTTGTGAAGAAGGGCATTATGGGGATGCGACAGATGGTAGTCCATACTCATGTATGCCTTGTCAATGTCCATTCTCGCCGACGAATAATTTTGCCACTGGATGTCAGGTGGGTAAATTTTGGGGAGAGTATACGGCAGGGGTACTGTAGAACGCTTCTTTCAGGTCTCCGAGTTTGGGCAACTGCTATCGTGTAACTGTAAACCTGGCTATGCTGGTGACCGATGTGATAGGTTTGTACATGGTTATGTGCTTTTATTAAGTTATATGGGCATAGGCTCTGGGCATACAGTATGCCACGCGACGCATTCGCGAAGCGTGTCACTACCTCGCGAGGCCTATAAGCGCAGAAGCGCATGATGCTTTCTGGTTGATTCTTCAAAATAACATTCCGTGGTGGATTTCCTCTAGAACTTTTTTTTACGATAGCAGCGAATTCGCTGGCCATACAGTATGCCACGCAGAGCGTGCGCGAACGCGTCACTGCCTCGCGTGGCATACTGTAGCCCAAAAAGGCCTCATGCGTTCTGAGTGATTCTTCAAAATGATATTCCAGTGCTTCTGGATTTTCATCTAGAAAATTGCCATATTTTTTTTGATAGATGAAGAGAACTTCCTGGCTCCAGTCCTTTTGGCCATACCGTATGTCACGCGACGCGTCAGTGTTTTTG